AAGAGCAGAGGACAATGTTCCCCACGAAGATAAATAAAGTGCTCATTTTCTTTTGTGATAAGATAAAAAAACATTTCCATGAAGCGAGCGGCGACGGCTCCTTCACCAGAAAACCCACAGACAGCAGCTTTAAGTCCAGATTCTCGTCTGCGTCGACACTGATCCCTGAGAAGACACTGTTACTCTGGGGACGAGGGATCTCTCTGGTCTGGGGTCTTGTCTAGGACCTGGTGTAGGGCCTGGTCTATGGTCTGGTCTATGGTCTGGTCTGGGGTCTGGTCTGGGGTCTGGTCTGGGGTCTGGTCTAGGGCTTGGTGTAGGGCTTGGTGTAGGGCCTGGTGTAGGGCCTGGTCTAGGGTCTAGTCTATTGTCTGGTCTGGGGTCTTGTCTGTGGCCTGGTCTATGGGTCTGGTCTATGGTCTGGTCTATAGTCTGGTCTAGCGCCTGGTGTAGGGCCTGGTCTATGGTCTGGTCTAGGGCCTGGTGTAGGGCCTGGTCTAGGGTCCTGTCTATGGTCTGGTCTAGGGCCTGGTCTGGGGTCTGGTCTAGGGCCTGGTGTAGGGCCTGGTCTAGGGTCTAGTCTATTGTCTGGTCTGGGGTCTTGTCTGTGGCCTGGTCTATGGGTCTGGTCTAGGGCCTGGTCTAGGGCCTGGTCTAGGGCCTGGTCTGTGGCCTGGTCTAGGGTCTGATCTGGTCTATAGTCCGGTCATGAAAGTTTACTGTGGTGTTTGCATGTTCTCCCTGTGTCGCCGTAGGTTTCCTCCAGGTGCTCCGGTCTCCCCAACCACTACAAAAATATGTACAGTAAAGAGGGGGTTGAATAAGTGAGATTACAGATGGAAATTAGCAGAAAAATCTACAATCTGGTGAATTTACAGTCACTGCAGTTTGTAAAGACACACTGTCCCAACTGTATACATAAACAAATACAAAATGAACATACCGCTTGGAGTGCACGTGACGGCACGAGGACGTCAGCGTGAGATCTCTGCTGAATACAGACGTATATATAGAGTGTGTGGTGCTGAGTCAGGCCCTAATGAGCAAACAGACTGCAACACTGCCCCCTGGTGGACGTTCATTTCCCTCGGTATTGCTGCAGACCGTCACCAGGTATTTTTAAACACATTCCCCTGTCATCCAGCCAACTAAATCTCCGCCTATACATACCTCAATCTAAAGCTCTGAACTTCTTCCATTCTGTCATCCATTTTGACTCATTTATTCGCAATCATGGCTCAACCACAACTAACATATACAGGCAATTCCCTTTTTTTGCATTCAGCCAACTTCAGCTCCATCACTGGTCATTATGGACATGTCATACCTATTTGCTGGTTTTGAGCGTTATCACAAAAAGCATCTGCAGAGTGTGCGCTTGTGAGGCTGGAGTCACTTTCACTGACCTCCAGGACGTCCACAGGGCTCAGATCTCTTCAGACCCCGCTCACCCAGAACTCACAGCTTTAAGAACTCTTTTATCCTGTTTCCATCTGTGTTTTAAATATTACTGTCAATCCTGTTGTTTTGTGTATTTATTATTTCCTTGTGTACATGTGTTCGCTCTGTTCTCTCTGGTCTGGTCTGGTCTCTGTTCTCTCTGGTCTGGTCTGGTCTCTGTTCTCTCTGGTCTGGTCTGGTCTCTGTTCTCTCTGGTCTGGTCTGGTCTCTGTTCTCTCTGGTCTGGTCTGGTCTCTGTTCTCTCTGGTCTGGTCTGGTCTCTGTTCTCTCTGGTCTGGACTGGTCTCTGTTCTCTCTGGTCTGGTCTGGTCTCTGTTCTCTCTGGTCTGGACTGGTCTCTGTTCTCTCTGGTCTGGTCTGGTCTCTGTTCTCTCTGGTCTATCCAGACTTGAGAGACTTCTCTCAAGTCTGAAATACTATTGCAACAACACATCATCAGTAGGGTAAAACTAACCTAATCTAACTTCTCTCAAGTCTGGTCTGGTCTTTCTGGTCTCTCAGGTCTGGTCTGGTCTTTCTGTTCAGGTCTGGTCTGGTCTGGTTTACAAACTAAAGTGGCCCTCTTACTAAATAGTTTGGACACCCCGATCTAAACCAGAGATCAACAGGTGCTGCTTTCTTAATACAAAAGTGGATTTTTTGTTTGTTTTGTTATTATTAATTTAGTACTTTCTACAGTAGCATCAGTATAGCTAGAATTATGTGAGAGACCGGAGAGAGAGAGACCAGAGAGGGACTGGAGGGAGAGAACAGAGAGAGCGAGACCAGAGAGGGACTGGAGGGAGAGAACAGAGAGAGCGAGACCAGAGAGGGACTGGAGGGAGAGAACAGAGAGAGAGAGACCAGAGAGGGACTGGAGGGAGAGAACAGAGAGAGAGAGACCAGAGAGGGACTGGAGGGAGAGAACAGAGAGAGCGAGACCAGAGAGGGACTGGAGGGAGAGAACAGAGAGAGCGAGACCAGAGAGGGACTGGAGGGAGAGAACAGAGAGAGAGAGACCAGAGAGGGACTGGAGGGAGAGAACAGAGAGAGCGAGACCAGAGAGGGACTGGAGGGAGAGAACAGAGAGAGAGAGACCAGAGAGGGACTGGAGGGAGAGAACAGAGAGAGCGAGACCAGAGAGGGACTGGAGGGAGAGAACAGAGAGAGAGAGAGACCAGAGAGGGACTGGAGGGAGAGAACAGAGAGAGCGAGACCAGAGAGGGACTGGAGGGAGAGAACAGAGAGAGCGAGACCAGAGAGGGACTGGAGGGAGAGAACAGAGAGAGAGAGAGACCAGAGAGGGACTGGAGGGAGAGAACAGAGAGAGAGAGACCAGAGAGGGACTGGAGGGAGAGAACAGAGATAGAGAGAGACCAGAGAGGGACTGGAGGGAGAGAACAGAGAGAGCGAGACCAGAGAGGGACTGGAGGGAGAGAACAGAGAGAGCGAGACCAGAGAGGGACTGGAGGGAGAGAGACAGGAGAGAGAACCAGAGAGGGACTGGAGGGAGAGAACAGAGAGAGCAGACCAGAGAGGGACCAGGAGGGAGGAGGAGAGAACAGAGAGAGCGAGACCAGAGAGGGACTGGAGGGAGAGAACAGAGAGAGAGAGAGAGACCAGAGAGGGACTGGAGGGAGAGAACAGAGAGAGAGGAGACCAGAGAGAGGACTGGAGGAGAGAACAGAGAGGAGCGAGACCAGAGGAGAGAACGAGAGGAGAGAGAGAGAGACCAGAGAGGGACTGGAGGAGAGAACAGAGAGAGAGAGACCAGAGAGGGACTGGAGGGAGAGAACAGAGAGAGCGAGACCAGAGAGGGACTGGAGGGAGAGAACAGAGAGAGAGAGAGACCAGAGAGGGACTGGAGGGAGAGAACAGAGAGAGAGCGAGACCAGAGAGGGACTGGAGGGAGAGAACAGAGAGAGCGAGACCAGAGAGGGACTGGAGGGAGAGAACAGAGAGAGCGAGACCAGAGGGAGACAGAGAACAGAGAGAGAGACCAAAGTCCTCTGACATAACTGCTGTTGTGATCTAAGGCTGTGAACAAACAAATTGAATTGAAAGAATCTTCAGATGAACGAAAACCAAAGTGACCTCAGCAGATATTTATTACAACAAGTGCACGAGCAAAACACAATCATTATGAGGCCTTTCATTCTACACATTTTCAAAGATTTGCGAGAAATGGTCCCACAAAAACCATGAAAACATGAACTTAAATATCACTAAGAGGCACATGAACAGCTCCAGTGGCTTCAGAAAGAGAAAGTAAAAACAGCAGCACATTCACAAACATGTAACAGTTGGAACTATTGCACCATTGCTTCGATAATATCAGGTCTCCTAATGCACGGCATCAGAGAAAATACATTCTTTCTCCTGTGTGTGTGTGTGTGTGTGTGTGTGTGTGTGTGTGTGTGTGTGTGTGTGTGTGTGTGTGTGTGTGTGTGTGTGTGTGTGTGTGTGTGTGTGCGCGTGTGTGCGCACTGCAAAAAAGTCAAAAATGGCTCAAATTTGGCAATATCTATATTAATTTTAGCACATTCTGACTGCTTTAAAACAAGATTTTCCAATGGGACAAAGCCAAATGATCTTGTTTTAAAAAGATACATTTTCTCACTTGGAATGAGAAAATAAAGCAACAGTTCTTGAAAGACGACTAAATGGTTTTGTCCCATTGGAGAATCTGGTTTTAACAGTCAGAATTTCTGGGGTCTCTCTCAGGTCTCGCTCTCGGGTCTCGCTCTCGGGTCTCGCTCTCGGGTCTCGCTCTCGGGTCTCGCTCTCGGGTCTCGCTCTCGGGTCTCTCTCTCTCGCTCTCGGGTCTCTCTCTGGTCTCTCTCTCTCTGGTCTCTCTCTCTCTCTGGTCTCTCTCTCTCTCTGGTCTCTCTCTCTCTCTCTGGTCTCTCTCTCTCTCTGGTCTCTCTCTGGTCTCTCTCTTTCTGGTCTCTCTCTCTGGTCTCTCTCTCTGGTCTCTCTCTGGTCTCTCTCTCTCTCTGGTCTCTCTCTCTCTCTGGTCTCTCTCTCTCTCTGGTCTCTCTCTCTCTCTCTGGTCTCTCTCTCTCTCTGGTCTCTCTCTGGTCTCTCTCTTTCTGGTCTCTCTCTCTGGTCTCTCTCTCTGGTCTCTCTCTGGTCTCTCTCTCTCTCTGGTCTCTCTCTCTCTCTGGTCTCTCTCTCTGGTCTCTCTCTCTCTCTGGTCTCTCTCTCTCTCTGGTCTCTCTCTCTGGTCTCTCTCTGGTCTCTCTCTGGTCTCTCTCTCTGGTCTCTCTCTCTGGTCTCTCTCTCTGGTCTCTCTCTCTGGTCTCTCTCTCTGGTCTCTTTCTGGTCTCTCTCTCTGGTCTCTCTCTCTGGTCTCTCTCTCTGGTCTCTCTCTCTGGTTTCTAATAAGTCTAAAAGGCTCTGTCCCTTTGGCATATCTTGTTTTAACACAGTCAGAATGAGCTGAAATTAAGATCAAAACCACTCGATTCAAGCATTTATCACCTCATACGTTATCAGTTTTTGCAGTGTGTGTGTGTGCATGTGTGTGTGTGCGTGTGTGTGTGTGCGTGTTGCAGTCCTCAGTCCTCGGTGTCGGAGCTGTCCGCGGGGTCCGTGTTGTGGGTCAGCATGTAGTTGTCCATGTCGATGGAGGGACAGTTGTGGATGGAGTACCGTAGGCGCTCGGCGAGGATGGCCTGACTGGTGTACGGAGGCAGGCGCAGCAGGAAGAAGCAGGTCTGGGCCGTGGGCAGGCCGTTCACGGGCTGACAACACACAACACAACAACACTTAGAGCGGGTGAGTGAGATGGACCGGGTCTAAAAGCCGGAGATAAACGCTGGTGTAGAAAGAACATTATACCAGGGGAAATAGTTTTCTTCAGAGGCCAAAGGAGGAGACCTTTTATAGGAACCAGACCGGACTCATGTGAGCTGAATTTTTATCATCCTTCTTTATTTGACCAACTTCTTAGACCCTAATTTAAAATCATTTTCATCTACTTTTAATTATCTGGTCTCTCGCTGGTCTCTCGCTGGCCTCTCTCCGATTTCTCTCTCCGGTCTCTTTCTGGTCTCTCCCTATGGTTTCTCTCTGGTCTCATTCTGGTCTCTCTCTCTCTGGTCTCTCCCTAGGGTCTCTCTTTCCAGTCTCTCTCTCCGTCTCTCTGGTCTCTCTCTGGTCTCCCTCTCTGGTCTCCCTCTCTGGTCTCCCTCTCTGGTCTCCCTCTCTGGTCTCCCTCTCTGGTCTCCCTCTCTGGTCTCCCTCTCTGGTCTCCCTCTCTGGTCTCCCTCTCTGGTCTCCCTCTCTGGTCTCCCTCTCTGGTCTCCCTCTCTGGTCTCCCTCTCTGGTCTCCCTCTCTGGTCTCCCTCTCTGGTCTCTCTTGTTTCTCTCCGGTCTCTTTCTCTGGTCTCTATCTCTCTGGTCTCTCTCTGGTCTTCCCATAGCCCTCAGGTCCTGCTCCTGCCCCTCTGTCCTCTGCAGCTCTAACTTGTGCTGCAACACTGAAATTCCCCCACTCTTAATCTTAATCTTACCCTGTCGACTTTGATGATTTGGAACTTCTGGCTGATGTCCGCGGGGTTGGAGGGCAGCCTGGACCTTCCGGACACGAACCGCAGGAACAGAACCCTCTCCTCATTGGTGAACTCCTCCAAGCTCTGCCAGAACCAGCCAATCAGCTGCTGGCTCTCGCTGACGTCACGGTAACGCACCAACTTCTTCAGCATCTCCACGGAGACTTCCGGAAGGCCACACACCAACTGCTCCAGCTGCTGCGCCGTGAGCAGAGAGAGGAGCGGCACCGGGATGATGCTGGACATGCCCTCCCTGACCGCCGCCACCTACAGGCAGCAAGTGGTACAGCTATTCATTCATTCATCATAAACTACAAGTGGTCAAAGTATTCATTCATCCATTCATTAATCAATCGTTCATTCATCCATTCATTCATATGCACAAGCAAGGACTGACCACTGCTTTACATGAGTTTTATGTTTTTTTCCTACACTGGGGTCACGTTCCATCTGTCGCCTTGACAACAGTCATTAAACAGATTCAGATAGAGTAAAGTCGGATGTAGTCCTCGTCTCGTCTCAGGGAAAACTCTGAGTCACACCAAACAGAACGCATTTGTTGAATTCTATCTGGATTTCTGATTCTTGTCACGTTTTCATACATCAAAAGCAGTGTTTGAAGTGGACACTACCCTCTGGTGGTGACAGTGGGAGGTGCAGGTGACGTCATAAGAGGGGGGGGGACATGTACTGTATCTTATTAAAACAAAATAATTTTTGTTTGTCTCATTGGAAAATCTTGTTTTAAGGCATATTAAGATACATTTTAACTGATAACTGTAGTTATCAGTTAAAAAAATTAGTTTTACAGCCCCCTAAATCTCCCTAAATCTTTTCATTTCAATGTCCCGCCCTCCACCGTTTCACCAATCAGAAAGTCTGTGATCCGGGCGCCAGAACTCACCGCGTGGAGCTAATCTCACTGGTAAAGTAACAATTGGCCGCAGAACTATTACATTTCTCGTTATGATTCTTAAATTATTAACAACAAAACAAAGAACAAAACCAGGATTTCTATCTTTGTGAAAAAGGTGTTGGTTATAGATTTGTTTCAGAACTCTTTTCTATTCAGCTGTTATGGTCTCAGCTGGATTCGTCTGCTTATCTGGCAACCTGAGTCAGGGAGAGTGGGAGAGGCTGCAGTACCACTTTCGGACAGATTTTTTATATACTGCTCCTTTAACAAACCAGGCACGTTCTCAGTTTTCTGTGTATGCCTCGTGTAACCTACACTTATTCAGTCTGTCGTTCTCTATTCTATTTTTCTTTTAAATTGCCTTCCAAGATGAAATGTGTATTCATGGTGCTGGATTTCATCAAATAAATGTCAAATAATATGTGACTTATTCTCTCGTGCGACTTCTATATGTTTTTTTCCTTCTTCATCATGTATTTTCGGCTGGTGTCCGGTATATTTTCTTGCTGTTACCTGTGAATCCATCTCGTGCAGTCTGTAGAGCAAAGCCTGCTCCACGTACTCGGTTCTGTTGTCGAAGCCCAGAGCAATGTTCTGTCCACCAGGAACGATGGGCACCAGTCGCCCGTCCGCACCGTGAGCCATGAAGGAGTCCAGTGGGATCATCTGGAACCACAGAGACGCCTTTTCAGTCTCAACTCATTCATTCTCTTTTGGAATTTCACTCTGAACCAGAGCAGACTCTGCGTACATCTGCCAGAGTGAGCAGCTCATCACCAGTGGCTTCGTCACCTCCTGTTACATAAGGTTCTGTTGGAACGTCTAGAATTATGTATTTATTTGTTTGTTTGGATGTGCTTGTGTCGCTGGACACCGGAATATCTCCCACGGGGATCAATAAAGTATCTGTTGAATCTGACTTGCATGATTTGGACGCTAGGACAAGCCATAGACTGTATATATTAACGGACGCCGTTCTAACTAATGGGCCACAAATTGGGCTTTAATGGAGTGATTCAAAATGGCCGCGGGGCTGGAAAATGTGAAAAAACGCATCTGTCCAACCCTACATTCCAGATGCTGTCAGTGCTGAGGGGAGTAAATTTTTTGGACCAGTCTAGTTTAGTCGCTGTGGACTTTTGAATGCATCTTAAATGAATGCGGCTTATGCAACTAACTCATAGGCAAATGCTAGTTTTCACATGTTCCTGCCCCGTGGCCATTTTGAAAAGGCCCATGGAAGGCAAACGTGGCGGCACAATAGTTTCAACAATAGAGAAAGGTGTCACTGAGTCTATTAAAATTCACAGTCTATGGTCTGGAAGGATTCGCTGCAGCCTTTGTCTCATTTTTCAAAATATCTATCTATATCTATTCATGTATCCGTCTATTTAGGTCGTTACAGCTGCAGCTAACAGGGAACGAGGATTCCGCCAGAAGAAAGTGTATTGTAATAGATCTCCTTTTTGTTTCCACCTGTCTGATCTCCTCCACATCGCTGCTCACCACATGGAAGTTCTCCGCAGTGATGCCGCTGTTCTCGAGGTGCAGAATCCCCTGCAGACTGCGGGAGGTCAGCACGTCCACCTCCTCCAGGTCAGACTCCACCAGCGGGATGGAGCAGAGCTGCTTCCACACCCAGGGCGCCAGGTGCAGGTCCAGGGGCTTCTTGGTGCGTATCGCTACAGCCATCAAGATGCCCAGGAACCTGAACTGAATCATGTGATCCTCGGACAGCGCTCCGGGGTTCAACAGAAATCTTGGAGAAAAAAGAGAGAAAAAAACATGAACATTATTTGTTATTGTTCAAATAATATCCCAATAATCATGTTTTACTACGATTACTAAAACGGCCAAACTGTTATCTTGAATTACTATATTAATGACTAATTTAAAAAGAACATTATGTAGTTTGTTGGTTTAATACAGAAAAATACAAAGAAAAAATAATGTTTCCACTGCTATTTACAAACGGAGGCAGAGACACACACACACACACACGCACACACACACACACAGAGGCAGAAAGACGCACACACAGAGGCAGAGACAGAGACACAGTGAGAGACACACACACACACACACAATAAGGAGAGAGAGACAGACACAGAGAGAGAGACAGAGAAAGTACTGTAAGTACAGTTTTTTCACATGCAACATGTATCCCCCTTATAATTGGACCAAACTCATGTATCATGCACTCTGCACCCACAGTTCAGCCTCAGGAGTGATACGTGAGACACACACACACGGGATTTGAAAGTATTGTGTAGTTACAGAATGGACTGTTATGATATTGTTGCGTCACTCATGTGTGTACCTGTCAGTGTTGCTGCCGACGTCTGCAAAACTATTCGGAGTGTGAACGAGAAGATCCACCACGCCGGACTGCAGCTCCTGGTCCACAGAAGCAAAAGTGATCAATCAAAGTGGGTCAGGCCCCGTTTACACGAAGACGCAGCCAAGCAAAAAAGTAAGTAAGTAAGTAAGTAAGTAATTATTTATATACCGCCTTTTCACTGCAGAGCTGAGTCTCAAAGCGGTTTACAATTGTTATTTTTTTTTGGGCACTTGTCTCTCACTCCACACAGAGATGGGAGCGGGGTCACCAGTACAGGAGGTGCATGCCAGAACTATTTTACATATTTTTAGCGGTAGGGGAAACCAGAGTACCCGGAGGAAACCTACGCAGACACGGGGAGAACATGCAAACTCCACTCAGAAAGGCCCTGGTCCGACCGGGATTCGAACCCAGGACCTTCTTGCTGAGAGGCGAGAGTGCTATCCACTCAGCCACCGTGCCGCCCAAACAATGTAGTTCAAACACCCAGCCAGTAGGGGGCAGTGGAACTTTACAACGCGACACCCGCCAGTACAACCACTTCTTAAACATTAACAACATCCTCCTTCAGGACACCGGAAAGGCGGGAAACAATGCACCAACCATCCATCTGTATTTAACAATAGCAGCAAAAATGGGAATTGGAACTACAGCTTTGCGCGGTTTCGTTTGGACGGACCAAGAAGTAGAATTTCTTCTCCATGTAACGCTACAGTAGGTCCCATTCCGTTTTGTCGCCTTTCACGCGTGAATCACACGAGACTCACGTGTGATTCACGCGTCTTTTATTTTCCCCCCTCCCAGTGACGTTGCAATGACCAAAACAACCACCAGGTGGCACTTGTGAGCAGGGTTACATTGGCGAGTTTCTGCCCCGCGCACATCGACAATCTGGTTTAAACGGGCAACTCCTTGTAGCAGGCCAGTCTCTGGAATAACCCGCAGACATTAAAACTACTGCATATAACGTAAACTTTTGCATCACGTTGGTGATCTTTCCAAAAAGAGAGAATATCATTATGGAAAGAGAAACTATTGGTAATATAACGCTGAACGTTATCTGACTCCAACAGCTCCGCTGGTGTCTCCTCCCACTCAGAAAAAAAGCAGACGCCTTTTCTCTGGCATCTCTAACATTTATAATAAATACATAAATATAACAATCATAATGAAGATGCTTTCAAATAATTTAGCAAGCTGTAATTCATTTATTTTAACTGCCAAACTTCTCTCGCTGCTCCTCTCCTCTCCTCCGCAAATCACTAAATGAGGAAAAGGGAATATTCACTCAATCTATTTTGAATGTTACACATACAATATTAATATAGTCTAAGCACGTGTACCACATGTAGCCCGTGTATTTACCACAGACTGTAAGTATTAAAGTATATGAGGCCCCTGCTTTAGGCCTCTGCTGTGAGGCCCACAGTCATCAGTCTCGGTGCCTCTGTGTAGATCACACGTCTGTCCTCGGGCTGGAGTGTTCTGAGGCTTTAAGCGGGGAGTCAGGAAGGAGCGATCCTGTTTGTCAGCATGATTTTTTTGTTTAGCCTCCCTGCGCGATTGCAAATGTACTCAAGGGACTCCCATACCGTGGCTCACATATATAATATTATATAGGAATCAGGAGCTTTCTGACCCGACCCACCCGCACCTGACATGACTCATATTTTTGAGGCATCCAACCCGCCCGAAACCGCGGGACCCGCGGGTTGACTGCGGGTTTCGGGCCGACCCGCGCATCTCGCATGTCCTGTTCAGGGCTGCAGGAGCAATTGTCCATTATTTTAATTGGACTTCTGGTCCATGCACACTGTAAAAAAGATAAAGTTAGTTCAACTCAAAATTTCAAAGCAACCAGCTGCGAAGGATTTTTGAGTTGAAGGCATTAACTTAATTCTTCAAGTTTTGAAGAACTACACTTATTAAGTTGTGTCATTTAAGTTTTCCAAGTTCTGCCAACTAAGTGTTTAAATTCAAGTTACTGGAAATTTCAAGTCTGTAAAAACTTACTTTTTTAAGTTCAGATTACTGTCCCCTACAATAACTTACTATTTTGAGTTTAAATTAGCCCCCAGATTAAAAGATCATGATGTTTATTTATATAGCGCATTTCATGGACCAAGGTCACTTGGGTAGGGGAAACCGGAGCACCCGGAGGAAACCTATGCAGACACAGAGAACATGCCAATTCCACACAGAAAGGCCCTGTTCCGACCGGGATTCGAACCCAGGACCTTCGTGTCAAGAAGCGAGAGTGCTATCCACTCAGCCACCGTGCCGCACACACTGTGAACCAGAGGGGAAACTTAATGTTTCTAAGACTGACCCAGAGAATATAAAGGGCTACTTTGGCTTGGCCCTGTCGATTACGGTTGGTAAAAATAAATACAGTGATTTTTTTGGTCAAATTAGTTTGTTCAAAATGTTGAATGCAGCTGGTTGCCATAACACATATTTAAATGAGCAAACGCAGATAAGTTGACCTCACTATAGCTCGGTGAACTGTAAAAACGACAACTCAAAATTGTTCACCTTACTCAGATTTTTGCATTCACTGACAATAAAATTTCCAGTTGGAACTGGAACTATCTTGTGAGCCACTTGAACTTTCAGAAGTTCACTACAACTTAAAAGTCAAATCAACTTAATATATCAAATAAGATGAACTTTTCATCAGAAACTTCAGAAAGTGAGTGTCGAAAATCAGACGCATAGGCAGGGATCTTTGCACACCAGAGCAACCTGGAAGTTTATTCACAACAGGTGGTAGATTCAGGCAGAACAATAAACAGGGAAACATTATATATTGGATATATTGGCGTCAGTCAGCTAAAACAACGGATACACAATCGTAGCAGATATACAATCAAAGAACATTGTGTGTCTTGTACTTCTATTTTATCTTGTTTTTGTACTACTATACAGGCCATGGCCTTCTATTGTTCATAAGTTCCAACTGGCAATTTTATTGTCAGTGAATGCAAAAATCTTAGTAAGGTGAACAATTTTGAGTTGTATTTTTTACAGTCCAGCACCAGAAGTCGCATTAATGGTGAGTGTTATAACAACATTATTTAAAAGAATAAATTCAGAGGCTTATTATATATATGATTCGAAGTTTGCGTGTTTCCGTTAGACATTTTCTGATGCGCAAATTAATTTTTTTAAACATGATGCCAGAGTGTGAACATGTTTATTGTTGTCCAAATCTTGAATTTCATGCGTGTTTTGGCGTGTTGTGCCGAAGGTTGAAATGAATAGTTGCTAGACTGTAGTAAACTTGTAAAACGATATTGCTAATACAAATGTATGATGGGTGGGAAACTTTCTTTCTCCGTGTTTTACAAATATAATGGAGTTGGCTGATGAATGTCTGCTTAGTTTTAACACTAGCAAACCCAAGCGAAATTGGCCCCTGTTTTGAAAAGAAGGATAGGTTGGCTGCTAACATTTGCATGTATTGATTTGCAAATTTAGGTAATGACTTATAACAGCAGGGGCCTGGGGTGGGCTTTGTTTATTCGTGTGGGGGAGGGAGAGCTACAGTAGTCCACAGATACATTTTTGCGCACAGATTTTCCTGGTGTATTATGCAGTGGAGTTTCATGATGGGGTGGCCGACTTTTTCTTGAATCAGTTTGACAGCCCCCTTGTGTCTCCCCACCATAGCGGGGGCGGCGTCTGTGGTCACTGCAAATACTTTTCTGATATTAATCCCTCGTTCTTCAAAATGTTCAATTAATGCCTTGGCCACGTCTTCACCTTTTGTAGTGTCAGGCATTGTCTTCAAGCAGCATAGTTCCTCTCTGATGATTGAATCACAGTACCTTGCCATGACTGCCAAACGCGGGATGTCATTCACATCCACGCTTTCATCAAGTGCAATGCTAAATACCGCTGCCTCTTTTAATCCAGCTGTTTGCTGAGCTCTGACATTCACAGCCATTTCATCAATACGTCGCTGAACACTTCTAGCTGACATGGGAATGTCCTTTATACGTGACTTGATGGTTTCTTTATTTGTAAAGCTTTCAAAAAGAGCATCTGAGCAACTGAGAAAAGCCTCCTTGATAAATTCACCATCCGTAAACGCTTCCCATATTTTGCAATGCAATGCGCAATGCGATAGCTTGCTTCTGTCCCGTGATTTTTAGCAGTGGTAAAAACCCTGAAGGAGCTAGCTTGTTTCCCATATCTGGACACAGCACATTTAATTGACTCTACTTTGTCTGATTGGTCTTTGAAGGTCTTCTCGTGCTTCGTCTCAAAATGACGCTTAACACTTAAAGTTCTGCACACAACATTTTCACAGCATAAAGCACAGCAAATTTTTTCACAGCACGGTCCTTCACAAACACAAAACCAAACTCTTGTGTCCAGCAGGACTGGAATGGCCTAGGTTTTGCCTTTTCAGCAGCCGGCGTTGCCATTGTTTACATATCTTATCACTATCATGCTATCTGTCATTCATTCGGCGCGAAGACAGCTGAGAGGGCGCTAATCCACGTAGTGGTCCTAGTGCCGGCAGTTAAAGCGCACAGACAGAGGCAGATGCTTTTAATAGCCATAAAATGGCCACATCAACATTTCAAAGACTGAAAAACAGCTAGCCTACACATTTAAACTAAAACAAGTGTAGGTTGAGGCAACATCAAATGATCAGATGCATATAGCAGACAGACAGTGACGTGCGGTGAGGATTGTGATTGGGGAGGCACTGACTTTAAATGTCAGATTTACTATCATTATTAAAATAAAATAGCATTTAATCACCGATGCAATAACATTCACAAACTTCCCATGCTGTAAAGATGAGAGAACTAGCTTTTAATAATCTCACAACCAATCTAGTTGCTGACTCTCTGCTGCGCATCAAACAACATCTTTAAGAAGAACAGGTGCGAGACACGCGAGCAGAGAGAGAGAGACGTGAGCAGAGAGAGACGTGAGCAGAGAGAGACGTGAGCAGAGAGAGACGCGAGCAGAGAGAGAGAGACGCGAGCAGAGAGAGAGAGACGCGAGCAGAGAGAGAGAGACGCGAGCAGAGAGAGAGAGACGCGAGCAGAGAGAGAGAGATGCGAGCAGAGAGAGAGAGACGCGAGCAGAGAGAGAGAGACGCGAGCAGAGAGAGAGATGCGAGCAGAGAGAGAGAGACGCGAGCAGAGAGAGAGATGCGAGCAGAGAGAGAGATGCGAGCAGAGAGAGAGATGCGAGCAGAGAGAGAGAGACGTGAGCAGAGAGAGAGAGACGCGAGCAGAGAGAGAGACGTGAGCAGAGAGAGAGAGACGCGAGCAGAGAGAGAGAGAGAGGTGAGCAGAGAGAGAGAGACGCGAGCAGAGAGAGAGATGCGAGCAGAGAGAGAGAGAAGTGAGCAGAGAGAGAGAGACGCGAGCAGAGAGAGATGCGAGCAGAGAGAGAGAGACGCGAGCAGAGAGAGAGAGACGTGAGCAGAGAGAGAGAGAGAGATGCGAGCAGAGAGAGAGAGACGCGAGCAGAGAGAGAGAGACGCGAGCAGAGAGAGAGAGACGCGAGCAGAGAGAGAGAGACGTGAGCAGAGAGAGAGAGAGAGAGATGCGAGCAGAGAGAGACGCGAGCAGAGAGAGAGATGCGAGCAGAGAGAGAGAGACGCGAGCAGAGAGAGAGATGCGAGCAGAGAGAGAGACGTGAGCAGAGAGAGAGATGCGAGCAGAGAGAGAGAGACGCGAGCAGAGAGAGATGCGAGCAGAGAGAGAGACGTGAGCAGAGAGAGAGACGCGAGCAGAGAGAGAGATGCGAGCAGAGAGAGAGAGAGACGCGAGCAGAGAGAGAGACGCGAGCAGAGAAAGAGAGCAGAGAGAGACGTGAGCAGAGAGAGAGAGACGCGAGCAGAGAGAGAGAGACGCGAGCAGAGAGAGAGGCGTGAGCAGAGAGAGAGAGAGAGAGGTGAGCAGAGAGAGACGTGAGCAGAGAGAGAGAGACGCGAGCAGAGAGAGAGACGCGAGCAGAGAGAGAGAGATGGGAGCAGAGAGAGAGAGACGCGAGCAGAGAGAGAGGCGTGAGCAGAGAGAGAGAGAGAGAGAGAGACGTGAGCAGAGAGAGAGAGAGAGACGTGAGCAGAGAGAGAGACGCGAGCAGAGAGAGAGAGACGCGAGCAGAGAGAGAGAGAGAGACGTGAGCAGAGAGAGAGAGACACGAGCAGAGAGAGAGAGACGTGAGCAGAGAGAGAGAGACGCGAGTCCGCGTGTCTATGGTCCTGTCTGTGGTTCTGTTCGGGTGTCTATGGTCCTGTCTGTGGTTCTGTTCGGGTGTCTATGGTCCTGTCTGTGGTTCTGTTCGCGTGTCTATGGTCCTGTCTGTGGTTCTGTTCGCGTGTCTATGGTCCGTGCTCGGAGCCCAGACGGCAGTGCGTTCACTGAGCTGTCAGAGCGGGGGTCACAGCAGCTGCTCCCGGGGCCAGAGCGGAGGATGTAACGTCACGTTCGGTTTATCAAAACATATCACAATATTTAACGTATAACACTAGTGAATTTCACCTAGATTTTTTCAGACATTAAAGACAAGATGTTATATAATAATTGTTCAATGAAAAAACAATTTTGCCACAAGCAACCAAAAGATGTGCCTCAGACAAGAATCGAACCTGGGTTCTCCAGGTCCCAGTCTTTAATGCTAACCATTCGGCTAACATAGCATCTCTGGGCTAAACAGGTTTGCACGCAGTTTTATACCTGAGCGTCTAAGTCGCTGGCAGAGCTAAAGCGGACTTAGCCTGCCACCTTGTGGCGATAAGATGTACTATTTTTCACGCAGCTGCGTGATTCCCGAGAAGCGTGAATGAAGACGACAAAACGGAATGGGACCTACTGTAGATTACAAGCCCAAGAAACACCAGGAAAGCCCGTTGGTCCGCCGCCATTGTTGTTTATGTTTGTTCTCGGCTTCTGCGCATGTCCAAATGTATGGCGCATCAGTATTGTCCCAATCTACACTGCAAAAAATGATACAATTTGATGTAATTATTGAGTGTTTTTTTATCTTAAACTGAGTACGTTCTGTCTTAAGACAAGATTTACCAATGGGACAAAAACATTTAGTCTTATTTCAAGAACTGTTGCTTTATTTTTGCCGCGTGGAGACTGTATTTTAACCTTGCATTATGCCATATGATTAAAAGGCCTTACAGTCACTGCGTGTCCATGTAAAGTAAGTAAGTTATCTTTAATTATATAGAGCCTTTCACAGACCAGAGTCACAAAGCACTTTACAATTGTGGGCATTTGTCTCTCACTCCAACACAGAGAGCAGGGTCGCCAGTACAGGAGGCGCATGTCAGACCTACTGTGCATGTTTTTAGTGGTAGGGGAAACCGGAGCACACGGAGGAAACCTACGCAGACACTGGGAGTACAGGCAAACTCAGAAAGGCCTGGAGGTGGAATCGAACCCAGGACACAAACTTTACTGTCTTACTGTCACTGCGTCTCTGTGTTCCAATGAGACGAAGGTGTTCCAGCTTCTTCATCTCATTGAACGGTGTTAAAAACTCACTTGGCACATTTCCGTGATGGTGTCGTCGAAAACGCCCCCGGCATCGTCCGCCCCCTCCCCCAGCAGCTTGACCTTCCAGGCTCGCGAGGGCAGCCGCAGCTCCAGGGGGTTCAGATTCACCACCTGTTTGGCAATCTGCACAAAGATGGGCTTGCTGGACCTGCCCCTGTGTGGAGAGGAACGACATGGGTTCGATCACAAGCTTCAGAGTGAAATGGTTTTAATCTGGTTTCTTTTACCGTGTAGAGATCCGCTTCACAGTGATTTGTGGACCGTATGTTTTTCCCTGGGTCATGGTGCGGCCGATAGAGCGGACCAGAGGCAGAGTGTTGACCTTGGGAGACAGGAGCCCTCGAAGTTCACCTCGAATGATGGCGTTTGTCCCGACACTGAACCGCGACGGAGACACCTGGGAAGAAGGGTTGGGATTAAACGAATGAATTTCTTTTGGTATTATTATTTCATTTCATTTCATTTTATTTAATTTTATAGTTACTTTTATATTCATACATATATGCACACATGCTTGTTCCTATTTGATTTTTGATGATTTTACTGTTTTACTATGGATTTGTTTTATTATATTATTGTGCAGCACTTTGGAAACTGTATTTATGAATCATGCTTCTATAAACAAAGTGGATTGGATTGAATTTCGTGAACTGGACCTAAACTCAGAATATTGTCAATAATTAGTAACACTAAGAATTTTAGTGCAATTATAAGAAATGTTATTAAGATTTTTGCATCAAAATATAAATAAATAATAAAATACATGATTATGTGTATTAAATGGGGTTTACTTTTTTTTTTTTTTGAGACTTTTTTGTTTTGTTTTTTCAAGTCAATGTACAACCTGTATATACCACACAACATATAAGAATGATAAATTATTTGTACATTTCTTCTGTAAAAATAACAAAACTAAAATAAAACAAAATAAGATAAGACCATGGTCTCTGTCCCTTGGACCAATGACTCGATGTGTTTTTATCATTGCATTCTTTGTGTTTCCACCGTTTGATTCTCTGATCTGTGTTGACGAATTTGACGGTTTTGTAAAGTCCTCCGAGATAACCACTGTTGTGATTTAGGGCGATACTAGAAAACACTGAATTGAATTGAGTGAAGATGGTCTCGGGTGGTACCAGGGTCTTGGTGTCCAGACTGAGCAGCCTCCAGGACTTGTACATGAGGTCAGAGAAGTGGTAGAGGACCATGAGGCGCATGCTGAGGACGTTAGGTCTGCAGTCTCTCAGCGTGTTGTAATGAGGCGGGATGGACTGAGGAAGACCGAGCTGAACATTCCCTGAACCACCTGCAAAACAAAACACCACAGACTGATGGGAACATTAGCAAAACACATCCAAGCACCGCATTCGGGAGCGATTGTGAGCAATTTATTTTGTTGGGCAATTTCTAGAAAACACAGAAAGAGACACAGACACAGAGGCAAAGACACAGACACAGAGAGAGAGAGAGAGAGAGAGAGACACACAGATAGAGAGAGACACTGAGATAGAGACACACAGAGAGAAACACACAGAAGTAGAGAGATAGACACAGAGAGAGAGACACACACACACACACACACACACAGAGAGAGAGAGACAGACACAGATGCAGAGAGAGAGACAGACAGAAATACACAGAGGCAGAGGGACAGAGATAGAAAGAGAGAGTTAAAGACAGAGACGGCGACAGAGAGACACACACACAGAAAGAGAGAGACACACACACACACACAGAGAGACAGAGAGAGACACACACAGATGCAGAGAGAGAGACAGACAGAAATGCACAGAGGCAAAGGGACAGAGATAGAAAGAGAGAGTTAAAGGGGACATATCATGAAAAATCCACTTTATGCCTTAAATGCCTTATGTTGTGTAGTTGGAGCCTCTAGAAGTGCAAAAAAGTTGAAATCAGTCTCTTCATGGGTTGCAGAGAACACTTCATATTCTGTTTAGGTACGATTTTTCAACCCGTTCTGATTTTGCCATTCTCTATTACGTGTTTAGAATTATTACGTCCCAGTATTTGCAGCGAGACTGCCATATAAGGGCATGGGCGTCTAACAAAACACTTCGGCCCAGCCCTCCTCCACTGTGCATCACTTCGAATTTGTAGTCCAAGCTCAAGGATGCCAGAGCACAGGGCTGGACTGGCCATCGGCCGTACCGGGCAATGCCCAAAGGGCCGATGCCCATATTTGGGCCGGTCTGTCTGCCTCATACAAAACACATGTTTATGAGAAGTGTAAATCCGTTGAGAATTGTTCAAGCGGGGCGCGCGTATCCACGGGGCACCTGCTGTATGTACTCGAACGGGATTCCACCACCTCAGCGGCCGCAGTGTTCCGGGGCATCTGCGGCCGCTTTGTAATGAGCAGCTTCCGCGTCCAGCGGCTGCGAGAGGCTGTGAGTCAGCTCGCAGCCTCTCCACCGTGTTGTGGCTGAGCGCGCAGCCTCAACGTGGCCAGGTACCCAACTCCATAAACGCGCACAGGACCATGCGTGTCTTTGAGTAATCATTGCATTAAAAGTTCATGTCTGAGCCCAAAAGTAATATGTTGTGAACAAACTAAACAGATTTAGAGCCAGCAAATGGTTGACAATATGCATTTCAGTCTTTTTTGACCAATTTTCATCCCTGTAACAAACAATAGTGTTGTCTGTGTCCACCTCCTTCACTCTGAGACATGTTTATTACTCTCTTGTAATGTAGACTATTGCATTTTATTTTATTGTTGAAACTGCACATATCCTGATCCTCTACAGTATTTGCTTCCACTACTGTATAAACTAGGAGTGGGCAACCTGCGGCTCCGGAGGCGCATGCGTCTCTTTGCCTTCTGTAGAAGGAAAAACTTTCTTAACGTTTTTAAATGCTGTAAAATTGTGCATAAGTAATATTCAATTTAAACATTTCTGTCAACGTAGTGTGTCATAACCTGCGACGTAGGCCCGCGCCAGGCGGCCGCTGTTGTAAACAAACCGGCGTGTGAGCATCATAGATTGTGCGCATGGATCCCAAAGCTAAAAAGAGAAGAGTCGATAATAAAACTGGACTAAGAATGAAAATTAACATTTGCGTTCAGTCAATGAGGAAGGACTGTTTCATGTTTGCGATGTAATGAGAAGTTTCTATGAGATAATTGTCCCGTGGAGCTACAAATAATGAGACTCAGACCCAGGCATTGCAGTTACGCTTTATATAGGCCACAAATTAATGATTTAGATGTAAAAATCGATTATTTGAAAACACAATATGTCCACTTTAAAGACAGAGACGGCGACAGAGAGACACACACACAGAAAGAGAGAGAGACACACAGACACACACAAAGAGCGAGAGACACTGAGATAGAGAGAGACACACAGAGGCAGAGAGAGAGACAGACAGAAATATACAGAGACAGAGGGACAGAGATAGAAAGAGATAAAGACAGAGACATAGAGACACACACAGAGAGAGAGACACTGAGATAGAGAGAATCACACAGAGGTAGAGAGAGAGAGAGAGCGAGAGAGAAACTTGAGTGTACGATTCCCATTTGTTTCATAACCACTGTACAGTCGCTGTTTTTAAAGTCCAGCCACTTTTCCCCTTTCTTCCTGGAGTCCCAAAGTGTAGGTCTTCCGTAGGTCAGTTTAATATTTTCCACAATTGAAATATGGACTTAATACCAGCAGGATTTTCAGGAGGTAAACATATCAAGTTCAAGTTCAAGTTATTGTCCCACTGGGGGAAATTTGTTTTGCAGCAAACAATCATCTAAAAACAGGCAGATAGAGTAAAAATCACAACATTGGAGAAAAACAAGAACAAAAGAGATTTACACAAAGCTAATTTTCAGTGCAAATATGATGTAAAGTGCAATGTGCTGTTAAGGTGCTTCACAGCTGTTGGAATAAATGTAGTTCCCAGCCGTTTTGTTCTACACCCAAGAGCCCTTTAGCGTCCTCCTGAGGGTAAAAGTTCAAACTGCTCCACCTGCTTACTCTACAGGTGCTACAGCCCAATGTTATAGGAAATACATGTTCTATATCTGTCCAGGATGTTTGAATGAGTGCGCCGGACCGGAGAATGTGCCCGTGTTCTGCCGTGTGTGTACCTGAGTTTTTGATTGAGGTAGTGGGCGTGGTCCAGGCGGCACTGTGGCAGCGGCCGGCGGAGATCTGGCGAATGTTTTTGTCGTGGAGCACCGTGATGAGGGTGGGTTCTTTCACAGGGTTGCAGTGACCGAGTCCGAGCTATAGACACATTTACATACATTATGGTGGAAATGAACTATTATTACGTTTATTTAATATCAATAATAATAATGTGTGTTGGTTCTACTGGATCTTAGCGCTGCCTTCGACACAGTAGACCACACCATTCTTTTATCCCGCCTGAAACACCTCGGCCTCTCTGGTGCTGTCCACAAATGGTTCACTTCTTATTTAACAGACAGATCCTTCATGGTAAGTTTGGATACCTGCTCCTCTCAGGTCCATAAAATCACATGTGGTGTGCCCCAGGGTTCCATTTTAGGTCCAGTCCTTTTTAACGTGTACATGCTCCCTCTTGGCGGTGTCATCAGGAGACATGGAATTAACTTCCACAGTTATGCAGATGATACTCAGCTGTACATCTCCATGTCTCCTGATGACACCAGGCCAATGGATGCTCTTTTTAACTGCATTTTAGACCTGAAATCCTGGATGGCAGAAAACTTTCTCCAGCTTAACCAGGACAACACTGAGGTTTTAGTCATCGGTCCTGAGGCCCAGAGAGAGAAACTTTTACCGAAACTCCAATCACACTCTTAATCCATCACCACATGTGAAAAACCTGGGCGTAATTTTTGACTCTGAGCTGACTTTTATTCCTCACATTAAGAATATAACAAAAATAGGTTTTTATCATTTGAAGAACATCGCCAGAGTCCGCCCCATTCTCTCTCGGGCCAACACGGAGACGCTGATGCATGCTTTTATAACCAGTCGCATTGACTACTGTAATGCCCTGCTCTCTGGTCTTCCCAAAAAGAACATTTCAGGTTTACAATTACTCCAAAACTCGGCCGCACGTGTCCTGACTAAGACCAGGGGGCGGGACCACATTACACCGGTTTTAAAATCGCTGCATTGGCTCCCCGTGTGTTTCAGGATTGATTTTAAGGTTCTCCTAATGGTTTTCAAATGTCTTAATGGTCTTGGGCCTTCTTATCTTTCAGAACTGCTTTTATCCTATGAACCCTCCCGGCCCCTGTGCTCCTCCGGCAGCAGACTCCTAACCATTCCAAAAGTCAGGACACACACTCACGGTGAGGCGTCTTTCCAACACTACGGCCCCCGTCTCTGGAACAGTCTGCCGGAGGAGCTCAGGGCCGCAGAGAACGTTCATATTTTTAAAGCCAGGCTCAAGACACACCTTTTTAGATTAGCTTTTGATTAGTATTTATTAGTCCATTTTTATATATTCTATTTATCCTTTATTATTTATTATATTGCTATTGCTTTTATTCATGTTTTGTGTGATAGTTCCTTTCAGGCTCACATTTTAGTGTTTTACTTATTGTATTGTTTTTAAGTATCCCCAGTGTTTCCTCTGGAGGAGCCCTCTGCGCTGGGAGCGGTGGTTGGCTGTGGCTGTGGGGGTCGGACTCTTGGCCCGGGGCCTCGGTTTTGGGTCCCCTCTGGGTCCTGTGTCGTCCCCTTTGGCTATGGGCGGCTCTCTGCTCCTGGCGCTGACGGCTCCTTGGATGGCGTTTCTTCAGCCGGTTGCATCTGAACCCTGCCAAGTCTCTTATCATCGTTTTATTGTTTTATCGGTGCGTGTGTGTGTGCGCGTGTGTGTGTGTGTGTGGGGGTGGGGGTGTTTGCTTGTGGTCTGGGGAGGGTCTGTTGGGCGGTCGGGGGGAGGGCATGGGCAGGATTGTTTTTTAGCCAAACTGTAAAGCACTTTGTGTTGCATCTGTTGTATGAAAAAGCGCTTTATAAATAAACTTTGATTGATTGATTGATTGAATGCATCAACTTGTTATGGTGCTGTTACAGAAATATTTTAGTAAAGCAATCTGAATTAACACCAAATAGTTATGAGTGTAAGTTATTAACTAATAGTCAACTCTGGATTCAGATACAGGCCATAATGCTCTGTTGGCTCAGGTCAGTGATAGATGGAGACGTGCTGCATCATGTCTTTGACCTGGGTCATAGAACAATATGTTCAGTTCAAAAGCAGATTGTTACATATATCAGAGTTGTATCAGCGTTAGGACGTGTAAAGAGAAGCCCTGAGCAACACAATATCTAGAGTAGATATGTGTTTGTTTACTCTGGTCTATTTAATGTCCAGTCATTTCCTCAATCGGGGCAGTCGGTTTCAGACGGCTGCCCGGTGGTATTGGTATCGGTTCTGTTATTCATTGTAATTCGGTTCTGTTATTCATTGTAATTGTGCACATTTACTGATGAATAAACTCACACTTTGATGGTTTTATAGCTCTGGGTTGTTTACATTATTTCACTCTCCGTATGTGCAGAAGTTCCACAACAGTGCTTATCAGGACTATCGAAGACGTGGTGATAAACTACAACTATAGCCACAGCCGCCCTGGGGCACACTGACAGAACCAACCAGTAGGTGCCATCTCCCTCTATGATCACCACCATTCACACACACACATCAGAGTCATTCTAGGCAGTGTGGGTGAAGTGTCTTGCCTAAGGACACAACAACAGTTTAGCACTTTGGAACCAACTGGGACTCTGAGTAGCACAGGGACTGGCCTCCTGCTGGGACTCTGAGGAGCACAGGGACTGGACTCCTGCTGGGAGTCTGAGGAGCACAGGGACTGGACTCCTGCTGGGAGTCTGAGGAGCACAGGGACTGGCCTCCTGCTGGGACTCTGAGGAGCACAGGGACTGGCCTCCTGCTGGGACTCTGAGGAGCACAGGGACTGGCCTCCTGCTGGTCCCAGAGTCAGGATCAAACGTGAGGAGACAGCAGTTCAGATTCATTCAGCTAAAACAGTCTTCCTGAAAATGCGAGACAGACTTCTTCTCTGACAATCTTCAAATCCAAGTTAAATGACTGCATCTCCACCTGTTTCATGTTCTGTAATTATTATTATTTTCATATATTACAACGCCTTGTTTTTTTGTAGTTTTGCACTTTGAGTTGACTTGAACTGTGCTACACATATAAACTTGCCTCGCCATAACAAAACCCATATACAAGTTAAAAAGTGTAATAAAATAGATTTACGAACCTGTCCTTCACTATTGCAGCCCCAGGCGTAGACGTCTCCGTTGGCAGAGAGAGCGAGGGCGTGCTCACAGCCCACCGCCACGTCCTCCACAAACAGACCTTCGAACGCCGGGACCACCTGAGGACTGGACTTGTTCTTGAGCATGGAGTCCGGCAGACCGATCATACGCTCTGGGGAGAGAAGCAAAGACAGAGTAACCACCAGCTCCCGTCTGAAGTAGTGCCAAGTCCGCATCAGGTGGATACGATTAAAAAGTACAATGCAATCACCAACACAGATCAGAGAATCAACAGTTAAGACAAAGAAAATACACATATGTGTTTTTGGGTTTCATATGACGTCAGGGCAGTGGCGCGAATAACAAACGTAGGACAGGACGTGACGTATCCTGGCGGTGCAGTCTGCCGGGTTTATACACGGAGATACAGTAGAAGAAGAAGCGCTGTCAAAATGCCATCTTTGTGTGCGGTGTACGCTTGTAGCAACCGCACAAATACAGAGAAAGACAAGAGTTTGTTCATGTTCCAACTGTGGTCTCATATAAAGGAGGACACTTTGAAAAAATAACTGGAATGAGGTGGATCAAGGCTTTCCTAGATAAGCGCCCCCTGCAGGCCACCCCAATGAAACGCAGCAATTTCTTCTGTTTTTTTTTTCCCCAAAAATGCCCGAAATCAAGGAGGAGAGCCTTTGTATTGACTCATTCAGAAATTCTTACATTAACAATTTACGCAGAGTTACATTGGTCACTTGTACATTAGAACTTGTACATTTGTTTACAGTAAAAAAACAGCAAAATAAAGCGATACCGGTCCTGTATTTCTGATAAATGATGAAGAACTTCATAACTCTAGCATTAATGGAAGCAGTATAAAATCCCCAGCTTTAGCCTGATGAAGAAGCAAAACAGAAGTGCAAAATCTCTAACTTTAGTATCATAAGGAAGCAAGAATAAGAGACTGTATATGCTGGTGTAAGTAATATATCAGACAGTAACATATGCACTGCAAAAAAGACAGATATGTGGTAATAATTACTTAAATTAAGAGGTTTTTTATCTTATTTTAAGTACGTTGTGACTGGGTTAAAACAAGATTCTCCAGTGGGACAAAGCCATTTAGTGTCAAGAACTGCTGCTTTGTTTTCACGTTCCAAGGGAGACATTTCTTGTTCCATTGGCAAATGTTGTGTGTTATTTTTCATCACTTGTAGTTCGTGCAGTGTGTAGTTCTATATTGCACATTCTGACCGTATTAAAGTTATTATTTGTTATTCCAGATTGTTCGGTGTGATGTAGTACCTTGTCCAAACGTATAAACACGTCCATCACACGTCAGAGCGACAGAAAACTGGGTTCCGCAGATGACCTTCTTAATTCCAACGTTGCAAAGTTGCTCCACTTTCTTAAAAAAAAAAAGAAAAAAAAAAGAAAAGTAGTGTATTGATAAATTAATCACATTTTTACTATCAGGGGGCGTCAAACTGGTTCTAAACTTTGCCAAATCGGACAAAAATAGAGCTCTCTCTCTCCCTCCCTTCCTCTCTCTCTCTCTTTTAGGGAGCACAGAATCCGAACTTGACTTGGCTCTAGGCAAACTTCTTTAGTTCTGGTGTTTGAGAATCTGTATAATGTGTCATCTTTGGACATAGTGTCACAGTTATAATATGGGTTAGGTCCTATTTAAGTCTATTCAAGTCTATTTAGCGCTAATAATATGAATATGCGCAATTTACAAAGCACTTTGCAATTGTTGTGGGGATTTGTGTCTCACTCCACAGGTTGTCATACAGGAGGCGCATGTCAGACCTATTTTACAGGTATTTAGTGGTAGGGGAAACCGGAGCACTCGGAGAAAACCTACGCAGACACTGGGAGAACATGCAAACTCCAGGAGGAATCAAGGCCAGGTAGCTCAAGCGCTTACTACTACGACTACTACTGCTGCTACTACTGCTACTAAATCCAGTATTATTATCAATTGTGTTCTGGATTCAATGCTTAGAATAGAATAAATCACATGATTTTATTTTGAGATATTGAGCTTAAAAATGGTGCACAGTGGTGAAGCTGTGCAGGTTTTCGATCCAACACCAGACCCACCCATATCCTTAAGTCTCCAGGTTAAGACTCAGTTGAGGGTGGTCTGGGGCTGCTCCTGCCTGGTCGGAACGAAAACCTGCAGCCACACTGTCAATTTTGAAGACCAGTTCGAACACCCCTGATTTACATGTAGCTAATTTGCTCATTTTCATCGCACTCCAGTCTTACTTGTGGGTAGTACTTTGCGGAAGAAGACCCAGTTCCTAGTTTTCCGTAATCTCCGTCTCCAAACGCCCACACGACCATACCATCGAGCGAGACGACCAGAGTGTGATTAAGGCCACACGAAACCTGGACCGAAGTCAGAGAATGGTCCTCAGTGTAGAAATACCTTTAGAATAATCGAAGCTAGTTAAGGGTTGGAGTTATCGGCCTTACCTGAGCCACATGGTATCCATCGAGAGCCACCACTCTTTCAGGAAGCATTTTGTTAGACGTCGACCTGAGTCCAAGACGACCGGATTCCCCGCTGCCAAAGGTAAGAAGTTTCCCGTCTGCTGTTACCACGGCGGAATGCCTAAAACCACAGGAAAGCTACAAAAGGGAAAGAAAATGATATTGTTATAGAAATATTAAAGTAAAGCGATCTGAATTAACATCAAAGCAAGGTTAGCAAGGTCAGCTGATAGACGGGAGACGTGTTTTTTTACATGTCTTTGGCAATATCTGTGTCTAAGAACCATGTGTTCAGGTCAAGTTTAATATCTAGAGTAGAAATATGTTTACTCTGGTCTATTTAATGCCTAGTCCAGTGGGGGGGGGTCCAGTCTCAAAAGTGGCCAAAATGACGTGCGCTGACATGCTTGCAATACTACCCCGGGCCGATGGGGGTGGACCCGGAATAAGAATTAGCCCATGCTAACATATAGCATCTTCTGAACTCTCGAAAACGTCTTTACAGGATGGACCAAAAGTTGGCTCTTGGCCCAAAGCTCTGTTCCACAAGTGTGTCAATGCTGAGGGGGGTGAATTCTTTTCGACCACTCTAGTTTAGTTGCTGTGAATGTTTGAAGTCACTCATTAAATGAATGGGGCTTGTGCCGGCTGACGCATGCAGAGACATCTGTTTTGGCAAATGCACCGTTTTTTCCTTACCTGCACGACCTCCTGTCCCTGTAAAGCCTCGATCTGTTTGGGCCGTCTCTGTCTCTCGTTGTTGCCGTGGCCCAACTTTCCAAAATCTCCATCTCCCCAACTGAACACTTCCCCGGTCTCAGTCAGAGCCATGGAGTGTCCGTCTGAACCGCAGGACGTCGCCAGCTGAACCACCACATAACCTGTTTGAGTCACAAAGAGATTCTAGTATTGAATGTTGTGAATGTTAGAAACTCATTAAACATTATAAAAGATAATGTCATTTCTGGAATATCAGCCGCTACTTTGTTCTACTTCTTTGACCCCTGCGGCTTATATAGCGATGCGGCTAATATGTTGTCATTATAGTAGATTCCTAATGTTGACGTTTTAGTAGCAAAAGGAAGTCAAAATAGACTGGTGAAGTTCATTTCAGTCACTTGTACATTTATTTTTAGAGTTTTTCCTCTGATGCAGCAGGGTCTGTTGGACAGTTAGTGTCTGACAAGAAGGACTGTGGTGATGATCCAGGACACTTTAACATTCTACAACATGTATGGACATTTATCAACATTCATGGACATTGGTCTCTCCCTATGGAACAATACATATGTGTATTTTCTATGTCTTAACTGTGGATTCTCTGATCTGTGTTGGTGATTTCAATGGTTTTGTTAAGTCTCTGAGATGATGCTGTCGTGATTTAGGGCTTTACAAGAATAAATTGTATTGTATTTTTTCTCTTCCTGAAGATGTGAGACAGGCCTCTTCTCTGACAATGTTTAAAACCAGGTTGAAAACAGTCCTGTTTAGCTGTGCTACAACTGAGGGATTTTATATTTTAATTTTAATTTTAATTACTATGATTATGTATGTGTATGAATGGTGCTATACAATTAAACTTGCCTTGCCTTTTTGAGTGTTGCGTACCTTGAAAAGCAGAGATAATCGTAGGTACATAGAGGTCATCAGAATTTCCCTGCCCCAGTCGGCCATACTGCCCTTCCCCCACGGCCAGGACGATCCCATTGGACTGGACCAGAAAAGAGCAGTTCTGACCACACACCACCTGGAGAGAAAACATCCAGAGAGCGTCAGTCACACAAGACCACCGCTGGAGAAGAAGTGTAGAGCAGAGTGTGGCCCGACCTGCTGGGTCTGGGACAGGGACTGGGCCAGAGTGGGCACGGTCTGGTTTGAACCGGTTCCTGCCAGCTGTCCGTATCTGCCATTGCCCCAGAGGTAGACTTCACTCTTTCCACCGTGTTGCCAATCCTGACGGGAAAACCAACTCATAATCACACAATGTTCGTTTAGTGATACAGGCGCTTTCACGTAGGCTTAACTCTGCAAGGTTTGGCTACCCTCAGGAACGTGATGAGCCGGGCCAAACCGAGCCGGACCAAAAGGAGACGAGCCAAAAGGAGCCAGGTCAAAAGGAGTCGGGTCAAAATGAGATGGGTCAAAATGAGATAGGTCAAAAGGAGATGGGTCAAAAGGAGTCGGGTCAAAAGGAGACGGGTCAAAAGGAGACGGGTCAAAAGGAGACGGGCCAAAAGAATATGGGCCAAAAGGAGCCAGGTCAAGAGGAGACGGGTCAAAAGGAGACAGGTCAAAAGGAGACGGGCCAAAAGAAGATGGGCCAAAAGGAGCCAGGTCAAAAGGAGACGGGTCAAAAGGAGACGGGCCAAAAGAAGATGGACCAAAATGAGACGGGTCAAAAGGAGCCAGGTCAAAAGGAGATGGACCAAAATGAGACGGGTCAAAAGGAGCCAGGCCTGTGTGAAGTTCAGTTACCTCTGGTCGTGTGGTGGCCCAAGACATCAACTGCTCGTCCATTTTGAAGGTCCATTTACTATTATCCTAAAAATATATACATTTATAAGAAAAAAAACAGAGAAATCTCATTTTTAAGACAGATCTGGAATCATTAACACTAAGACTCCCAGAATTCTGAAACTACCAGAAGTTTTAGTTTAACTTAGTAAGTTATAAATGTTTTACCATTACTCACTTTGCTAAAACCAAATGCAGCCAAAAAGGTTGTTATTATATTTTCTCTTCTCTGATGGAAACTGAGCTGGACCAGACCCATGTAGTTTGCCAAGTGACCGAAAATGGCATTTGACTACATCGTACAATACAATAAATGGGTCAAAATGACTGCTTTGGGAGGTAAAGGTAGAACTTCTTGCATTTAAAAAATAAAAGATGAAAACACACAGAAAAAGTTATGAAGGTAAAAAATGTACATAAGCCGAGTAATTACACTTCCAAAAGTAAAAGCCGTCAAATTGACTGCTCTGGGAATTCTAGTGTTAAATCTCCCTCTCACTCACCAAAGCTATGGACGTCTCTTTGTCAATAATGTCCTCAAACTCGAGCATAAAGGATTCTGGGAAGGCCGTGCCGCTGGAGAAGGCCTCTGCGGTGCGGACGGTGGTGGTGTACATGTTGAGCCAGCTCCACTCGGACGGACAGGACAGGAAGTCAGCGGATCTGTGGTGAGGCGGCACCAGGTAATGGCAAAGGTGCTTCTCCAACGACAAACCCACAGAAACAGAGGCCAACGTCTGCAGGAAGGCACTGTGCACGAGCTGGTCCCCAGACGTCACATGGACCTGAAGGAGCAAGACGGAAAACCTGCATTCAACTTGTATGGGGTTTGAAAATTTGAAATATTGAAAGTTTCTCTAGGAATGTATGGGTATTTATGGGAATAAACTGGGAATTTCAAAAATGTAAAGATGGCTACTGTAAGTTCAATGTTTTTGGTCTTTGGTATGTCATGGTACCACTTTTGTATGTCTATGTGTCACTTTTGTGTGTCTTTGTATCATTTAATAAAAAAAAGAAAAAAAAAGATGGCTTACTCTTTATTGGGAATTAAATGCAGTTGAGGAAAGTGTATTTGAACATAATCTTGACCACGCCCCTAGTGGCTGTGTGCATGTCAGCACATGTACAGGAGATTTCTAGAAGGTGTCTCAAAAGGAGCCTTGAATTAAAATGAATTAAAATTGGATATTTCATCAATTCTCCGTATCAACTTCTCATGGAAATTTACCAGAAATTTCCCGCCCCTTTCCTATTTTTGTGTTACATTGTATTTACATTTTCACACTGGTTTGCATGTATCACACCTTACTTTTTGTCCCCATTTTGTTCCCCACATCCAAAATTCCCTTAAGATGGGCAGAGAATCTCAAAAAATATCTAAACAAAATGAGTAATTGTAAAAAAACAAAAAGAGACCCCAATATTAATAATTATGTTTTTTCTGTCTCTTTTTCCAACCCTAGAGATAAGTCCAAGTGATACCAGTGCATTATACCTTCTCATAATTGTACTGCTCCTGAAGTAACAAAGGCAGCCTCTCCAGGAGCACAGCCAGACACGGAGCCCTGTTCAAGCCTAGAATGTTCTGGCTCCTCAGGGCCATGCGGCAGGAAGCCAGCACATGGTTCTGCT